AGATATTCATATTAGCACCAAGCAAGGAGTAAAATGATAACATATTTCTAATTCGTGAAATTAAAAAAAAATACATAAAATCATGTGAACATTTCTTACTCAGCTTTGGGATCATCAATCACTCACATTTAATACAGTTTCTTTTTTAAATTATGAATTTTAAATTTGAATTTTTCAGAGTTTTTGACCCAAGAAATGTGAAGGAAATCCTGTTATCCGATTGGAATTATTTGGATGGGACGAAGGTATTGAGATAACATGTAATATGCGGACAGCACCTTGTATAGATACTGTAGGTATAATCTATGTATACATAGCTGTATTACTGACCGACTTCCAGGCATTGTTTACAGTAACCAGATGGAGTCTGATACAGGCTGCCAATAATTGACTTGTTACAACCTAATAATACCTAACTTATACAAGCAAGTCTGTTCCAACATGAAAGCCACGTCACACTGGAGGAGAAGATGATACTGTTGAGGACCAAACTCCACCAGAAGTACGACTAGTCAACAACATTATGTGGAGCATTAAGGTTTTACAGAAATACAAATCTGGAAATTTCTATAATTCTTTGGTTTTTCTTCTTTTCTTTTATTTCTCATCTTCTATCAATAGCAAGCAACAAACATTAGAAACATCTCTGGAAATTTTCAAGGATATTTTTATTTAGTTTCTTGAAATTGAGCAACCAACGAGGAAATCTGAATTTTATATTAACCAATGTTCCATATTTGAGATAAAAGTGAATTTCATTTCTCTGACTAAATCTTATCATTTTGTTTAAAACTTACAAGGAATTACAATGATCCACATTCATTGGAGAAAGTTAAAGTCATCAATGATAACTTGCCACCTTCATCGAGTATGCTTTTCTTGAGAATCGACTAATAAGAATGGATATGAATAATGTAAAAAAATAATCAGAAATTATACAATGATTGTGTAACATCGTACCTAATGCTGTGTGGGGTTATTTCACACTGCAGATTTACCTATATGAATAAACTACAGAACGAGAGAAATGAAACTTAAGAGCAGTTATGAGATGTAGATCAACTTGTTTCAAAAAAAAATAGGCATACTATGGCCGGGACTAATAAAACTGTTAATTTTCTTCCTTTAAACCATTATGTTCCTGGTTCACTATTTGGTATGTGCACGATGTACTTATTTATAGCTCTATAAAATGTCTTCTGTAAAAAATGTTCCACTTCGTGATCTACGTTTTTAGAATGATGTAAACCACTTGATGACCAAATAGCAACATTTGACTTTTGACCTGAAATTACACACCTGGGGTAGGTTACATGACAATGAAGTGACAAACAACGATTTTCTGTCTAAATTACACAATGGAGTAGATTACTTAACAATAAAGCCACAATAAAAGGATTTTCTGGCCAAGTAAAGATAAGTGACTTCCTGTTTCAGTAACAGTGCAGACTTCAGCGTGTCGACACCATATACTTCTGTTCACACAGGATACTCGTTACACGGGTGGGCAGGTGATATATATACCACTAGTATACCTGTCACGTCTCTTGTCAACATAGAATCAGTTTCTTTATCTTATCCTTTTAATTGTCCCATTATCAAAATTAAACGTATTGTATTCAAGTCATGATCACTGGAATACGTCCAGAATAAATGAAACCAAGACAAGCCCATGTCTATGTACGTGATACATATTTTATTTCTTTAGCACAACCAGTATAAGGTATAGACAAAGGAGATGTCATTCAGTAGATCGTAAGGCTAACATGCCAGAGGTCTCAGGTTCGACTCCTGGCGGAGGAGGCACTGAAAAAATAAGTACCTCTGTTACATTAGCCCCCTATTGTAGTGGACCGAGAAATAATGACATATGCTCAGCGATACTTTTACAAAAATCGCTATGACCTCTGGAAAACTCAGGACGAATTACATCCTGGAAGAGATATGTCACCTTGGTAAAATAATAGGCGCTTCCTACCGACTCGGCTAGGAAGAATTTCTCTTAAGCTCATTCAGTAGACTGTAAGACATTAAGTAAACCAGGGGTTCCGGGTTTCACTCTTAGCAGAAGCAATAAAAAAATAATGACCTCTATTACAGAGACAATAATGCCTGTGCCCTATCTCCCATAATGAATCTACCTCAAACCTCCTTAAAGCTAGAAAGAGAACTTCAACACTATTTGCCTTCTTTCCATGTTAAAGCAAGTGGAACAACTGACATAACCTTGGCCTAGTCCTATTTGTTTAAACCATTGGAGGAACATGACAAACCTCTGCCAGCACCCACCAATCTTGATGCCATTAACTAAACAGGAACAAGCTTATATGTCGCTCTACAATTCTAAAGCAAGTGAATGGTCTTGAACGTTCAATGTCTCCCTACAATTCCGAAGCAAATGAAAGGTCTTGAGCATCCTATGCCTCCCTCATATTTTGAAGATAGTAGAAAGAGTTGGAACAACTTTATGGCCTTCCTCAAATATTGAATCTATCTAGATGGTGACCTTTTAGTGTACAATACAGGTTCAGGGTATGTACAGAACAGGGGAAGCAGGTGCGAACGTCCAAAGTAAAGTATCTAGTCAATTAACACCTGAGTTTGTGATTTGTTACCATTGGTGGATTAAAATTGTAGACTGTGGACAACTCATAAATAAATAAGGATGCACATTATGCAGCATAAAAGAACAAATATTTCAATGATGGTATATTGGTTACAACACGCACACCCACTAAAACTTGTTAACCGAACTCCTGGGGAACGAACAGACTTATTAGAGATTATCACTATAGAAGTTATTACAGATTCCTGACCATAAGAGAAAGTTTCTTGCCAGCAGACATACAGATGACTTGGTTATAAGAGTTTATATTACTTCGTACTTGCTAACCTTTTCCATGGGGGAGGGTTCCATGTGCTCAATATTAAAAACAAATGAAATGTGTGTATATTGCTGAGAGACAAATCAACCTTTTAAAATAACGTTGCTTGAGTTGGTCTTTCAGATTAAATTGTTTGATCTTAGACTGTTTAAACAGTTTAGCGAATTCCGTGGATGAAGATGTTGAATTTAAGGCTACAAATTTGGGAGTCTCACTCCTACATAAGAAGAGTGGGCAAGTATAATACTTCAGCTTGGTCGTAGAGAATGTTTACAGTTAAGTAACAAAACAGAGAGAATTTTTTTAGGTGTGATGGTTTCAGATAAAATGACTGTCCTGGATGACTTATGGGAAAGATGTTTTTACGGCCAAGATTATCGGGTTAGATGCTCGACTCATATGTGAGGATTTGCTAATAATGAAATTATTTCTTAATAACATAATAGGATTAAGGTTTCTTAAAACTTCCAAGGCCTTTCGGTGCCTCTGCACATTTTACTGTTACATAATTATTTTAACAGGAAGCTTGAGAGCCTAAACTCTATTACAATATTTTCATTAATCAATTTTTTTTCCGGTTAAAATCTGTCCAATTTCTCAGCAAACATGCATGTTTTCTACTTTCGGATGGCCATCTAAGGCTAGTGGAATTTGGAACTTTTTAAAAAGCGGGGCTAAGATGTTTATCCAATCAATTCGTCACATATCAGTGACTCAGGGTGGGTGAGGTCATCGTCTGATCTGGACCTCTTTCAGTAGCAGTATGGCCTGGACCACAATCAAAGAACACAGGCGTATGCAATTTCATATTTAGAACACTATCCTACAGGATGATTTTGAAAAGTAACACAGAAATATTTTACATTTTCACTTGCCCAAAAATAAAATCTACCAGCCCCAGGCTGCACCAGTACAAGCCCTGGTGGATTTGTGTATATATCCCAGCTGGAGCACTTTCAAAATTATGTCCATGCAGTTCTAGTTTTTTTCTAATATGAGTTATAATCTTAATAACTATATAGGCCATTGATAGACTACAGGTGGCAATATATCTGACAGAAAGACATGCTTCTATGGCCTATAATGAATTTGGTAACACATCTAATGACTCTACCTGGAAATTGGTGTTACCAAACCAGGTTGATGGGGAATGTACCGTTACATAATGTTGTATGTACAATAAGCATGATCAAATTAAAATAAACACTTTAAAGGGACAATATCTCTCATCAAAACAAAAGTTTGGTGAATTGTTTGTTTAGGGTTAAAGGCCCCGCACCAATGTTGACATCTTTCTCATAGGGGTCAACCTCTGATACCTCCGGTGAGGGAGGTCTCCCTCAATCCACATTTCCAATAAGGGAGATCTCCCCTCATTCCACATTTCCAATAAGGGAGATCTCCCCTCATTCCACATTTCCAATAAGGGAGGTCTCCCTCAATCCACATTTCCAATAAGGGAGACCTCCCCTCATTCCTAATTTCCAATAAGGGAGATCTCCCCTCATTCCACATTTCCAATAAGGGAGATCTCCCCTCATTCCTAATTTCTGATGAGGAGAAAGTGTGTTAAATGCGACTGAAACTGCTTTGCTTAATTTATCTTTCCCTTTTTACCTATCAAAATAACTTCAAAAAACATTTATTTGATTCATACATATCTGTTATGATCATCACACACACCCTGCAGTAACTAGGAGATCATTTGACCACAGGATGTAGATTATGAGTTTGTGTGAGTTTGGAATTGAATGAGGGAGTTTCAAGGGAGATTGGTAAATTCTGGTCAAAACGATGGTGGTTTATATATAACTAACAGCTATTTATTATGTCATTTAGGGCCACTACTGTAAAATGGTATTTTAAAATGCTCAGCCTTTTCAAAAGTGAAGTCTTAATACAACTGCCGCATTGAGGTAAATTGTTATATTTATTCAAACTTTTGAATTATGATTAAATGTGTTCCAAGCCCGGCGAGAACTGGTTATATAAAACAACTGTAAAATGAAAGTAGAACACTTTACATCCATAGTAAAGGTTTGATCAAAAGTAAAAGTAAAAAACAATAACACAAAATGATTATAAAGTGAAAGTAGATAAAAAATCAATACTTACAGTAGGTTTTCCATGTGGGTAGTGGCTGACTTTCCCCTCCATCTGAAAGAACAGTGATATAATCATGTTTAGAATCCAACAGACTATCGTCAGCGGGCGCTACCACACGAAACATAATGCTGCTCTAACGATGACAACGGCAGCAACACGACTTCCAAAATGTTGGTCGGGGGGAACTTTTTGAACCTACTTCAGAGTAACATGTACACAATGAACAAGATACAGCTTTCCTATAGAACTGTACACAGTTTGTCTTAGAACTGTATGTCAATTATCCATTCGGTAGGAAGGACGAAAACACATGTAATCTATAGGTGTGGTCCAAACTTAGGTTTTAGTCACTTCACTATCCTCCTCAAGTCTAATTCCCCACAACATTTACAGGAGAAAGTTCAGCCTGGGTTTAGATATATGATGAAACTGATATCAAGTTTACGCTGTTGATATTGTTCCGGTCCGGTATATAAACACCACACAGTTTAGATACACACACGATCCTCAATCTTACACAATAACAAACAACTGTCTATTCACTAAAAGTCACGATCTCACAATGTTGTTGTAACAGGATTTTCTTCCTTGGAGCTCTGATGACTACTTCCTGGAGTTATATTAACCAGGTTTTCCCCTTTATCAGCACGAGACAATAACTTATAGCCGGATAGCAGGATAAGTCTGGACCTGAGACGGTCTACTGACACCACAGTAGATGACCCTATAGCTAAGGGCCTAAGGAAGTGACACCTTCTTCAAACAATGCCTGCACTGAGTACACACACAAGGTTAGCAGAACTGATGAGTAGCCAGTTACCACCCCTTGTCAAGCTTCAGTGAACAGGAATTATACGACTGTTGACAGTAAAATCTGGCCTAAATTCCCTGATGTATTGCTGACCAGGTAACATATAGCTGCAAAGGTGTGCACACAAAGATTTTCACTAGATTTGCTTCAATTTGTCACATGATTTTCACAATGTGTAGCTCCACTCAACCAGAGCCATGAAAGACAGAACGAAATTTCTCTGAATCACACTTCAGAATGTCTGGAATTTATCTACACGATGACACTCTGACCTGATGCAAGATCAGCAGAGACACCGGTATATTTGAGTAACACTTCCAGACGCTATGGTCTACCCGGATATTTATCCAGACAAGATATTGCATTTAGGGGACACCACTTAATCTCGTTATGAACTGTTATTGGTGGGTCAACTTCCTCTTCCTGTCGAGAAAGTCAACCAGAACCAGCCTACCTGAGCGTGGACAGGCAGAAATACTTGTATGAATTAAATTACATGTGAGAGATTTGTGACGGGGATTTAAATGTTTTGTATTGTTAATACACACTGTGGGTGTTTGAGGTAACAGGAATGAGAAATTCCAAACTTATAAAGATCAAAATGTAAACAGTCCGGCTAGACCTAATCAAGTATACAGGTGTACATACTAACTGCCCACAGGTGAAAAGTCATGGTATGGTCAGGTAGAATAGAGAAGGAATTCCACAGACTTGACTCAATTACTTACTACCAACGGGTAACATACTGAGAACCGTAATATGATCCACTGGCCTTTGACATCTGACAAAGTATATAAGAAGGCAAATTACTGAGGTCAGTCTAGATCTGAGCCTAAGGGGTCTTCCTGGCCGTTAGGGAGATCAAGATGTCCAGGAGGAGTGACAGATGGAAAGACCTGGTCAAGTGACAGCTACCATGCATCAGAGCCGATATATTATGACCTACCTTAATACGTACCAGGTGATTATCAGGTGTGTATCACAGGTGTGTACACACAAATATACAAAGGTCCTATCAGGTCAGATGATCAGGAGTCCTTAAGTACCATAACAAATCTAACCTCAGTTCTTAACTCATTCACCCCTGTAAACAACTTCACCTCCAACATCCTGTCTTGTTCGAATATTTACATCATATTACTTCTATAGTAAATCTGGTCCAAATCTTACATTAAACCACAACAAATGTACAACAATGTGTATTTCTGAGCTAGCATAACAGGCAAAATTTACACTACTGTACTTATTGCCATAAATATAGGATGTTTAATTGAACTTAATTTAGAGTTAATGTTAAATGTCTATATTGTGATCCTGAGCTATACCAAACGCTAACAGCCAAAATTCACACTAGTGTACTATAGTTCTCTAAATATAGGATGTTTGTATCAGAGTTAATGTACATGTACAGGTCTAAACACAAATCGTTGATTTGTGAGCTGCCTGATATTGTTTACATAAACACATGATAAAGACAGTGTACTGCGACACAGATGTAAGCTATACATCACAAACTAAAGCAATCCAGATCTTTTTGGTCAGTTCAACATTTCTATCATTCCAGACCTGAAAATGAGGTTGACAGGAAATTCGTCAGATTATCAAATTATTCTTTGAATCTTAAAACAGATTTATACATAAAGTCATGTCCATATATAGAATAAAATACTTGTATACATTCATTCCAGTCTACCTGGGATAGTAAACAAGTAGATAAAATAAAAGTAGATTAGATATACTTTAGACAGCCTGCAGCCTTATAATAATAGGGCAGAACGTCTCCAGTGCTCTTTCTGACACCTTTGGGAAAATATCACACACAAAATGAATGATTTAGGAATATAAAGTGTTTTTTGCATAGGTTTTGGGAAAATACAGCAGAAATAGGGAACACATATACCTGTATCTGAAAATAAATGTATTGAATGCATCACGTGAAAACTGCCTAGATACACACATGGATTATCTCCAACCTTTAAAGCACAATGAGATAAAAACAAACATACGAAAAATGTTGCCCTGAATTTTAGAATTAAAGAATCTCAGACATCCTAACCAACTGGCTAAAAAAGGATTAAACTGGTGAAGAGCAAATATTTGGCTGGACGAAATATCTCTGTAATTTTTAATACATGTTATTTGTGTGCTAAGCAAAGTCGCCTGTTGAACATGGGATAAATATTGACCAGGGCCTTGCTTACTAATAAGGATATATATGTGGTAAGTACTGACCAGGGCCTTGCTAACTAATAAGGATATATATGTGGTAAGTACTGCCCACATACAAGTCAGCTATAGCTGCAGTGTAGGGGTCCGACACAATACATCAAAACATCTGACCATGTATATACGTACTGCAAGCTGTCTATATGGGCATAGCTCGACGAGGACCATCATATCAATTTAATGGATTATCAATGGTTCCTATCTTTCACAGTGAGGTTTAATGTCAATATCAGCTTTAAGGTCATCATATTTATTCCATAGCACATATATAAATCAATCGCTAAAAATATCTGTACCTATACCCTACAGGTACCTTTTTCTCTTTACGTACATATATATACATGTACCAGGCTTTACTGGAAACACAGGTGTAGTTTTGTATGTCCAGGATAACAGCATGAATAGACAGATGAATTCTTTGTGTCCCTGTCTGTCACATATCCATTAGTTTTAGCAATCCAGACTATCTACCTAAATTTCCATTAGATGCTATCATAGAATCTCCAATTCTTACCATCAGACGGTTGACAGCATTAATCAAATATCCATATATACAAGTTGCACATGCTATGCTTCTATGCCCTGTACCTTCTCGTAAGATAATTCTAAGGGAGATAATTCCAACATATTTCACAATACTTGTAATGAACCATAAAGCCTTAAACTAGACTGTGACAAAATACAATTATCCATGTTAAGAAATATGGTACACAACTTTGTGATTGTTACCAATCCAGGTCATCAATTTCTCCATCATCAATTGATTCTATCAAACCTCACTCATTTTTCTAAAGGGAGATAATTGAGGATGACATGACTAAGGAAAATAAATGCAGACTCCTAAAAGAAAGACTATCATGTATAACTGGTAGTGATGCACATAATAAGAGTCAGTTTTACATTTCTTACAGGGTTTTTTCTACTGATTACTTTGTTTCGAAGAGTAAAACACAAATTCAGGTAGGAAAACAGCGTATTAGGGAGGTGGTGTTAGCCATCAAAACAGAACAACACAGTAGTAGATCTACACAACTACATAAAGGGTTTGTATCAACCAATCAATAAAACTACCAATCAAGTTCAAGTGAAACTTCATTGGAAAAGATTCTATTTTAAGACTTAAACTTCAATTATTAAAACATCCATTTTACTTGGGGCTGATACTTGAGAAGATTAAAGGCCAAAGGTAGGATGTAAAAGGGAGACAACCAAGGAAAATGGAGGCATATATACATATGTGTGTGCCTCCTTTTGTACATTATTTAATGCAACATTTCAGAGTTTTGCCTACAAGTAAGATTTCATCAAACATGGATCTATTCAAATTTTGCTAATGGGACAGTGATGCCAGTCACGATTTACGGTATTTACATTTAGGGAAAAGAAGCCACTTGTGATCGGCAGTGATTATTTAAGGGGAGACAAATTCAAGTCAATAGTGATCAAAATATTTTACATAAGGGGAGATAATCTAGTCTCTTATTGATGAAGATACATTTATTGTATGTGCTGTACATATATGTACTTAAAAAAGTGCTTTGAAATATAAAACTGATACAACCAAACAACTTGAGGAGATCGATATATCATACAAATACATTAAGGTAGAGTGTCCCAGCGTTCTGTGTTATACCTCCAATACAAAAGAGCTCTAATTTGTTCAGGATATTTTTCTGACTTGAGTTGTTTGCTCATTTAATTGCTGTATCTACATATCAACAAATTCACTGTCAGTTATCATATTTGCTAGGTAACTACTTTTCTACCATATTACAAGAGAAAACTTACTGAAAATGCCAGCAAACTATAGATAAATGTTTTTGTATCACTGTAGAGGAAATAAACATTTTAGCAGAAAAATAACTTTTTATTGACTGTATACCATAGCAATTTAGTGGGACAACCTTCCTTAATTTCACGGAGTCAAGTACAAAGTGTTATATATATACATTTCTTATTCATAGCCAAAGTGTTCTGAACACAAATAGCAGTGACAAATTGCCAGACATGTTAC